GGCTTTCATTCGGTCTTTACATCCATAACATATGTACAAATATGTACTTTTCGTCAACCTTCTTTCATATTTAAGCAACTATTTTTTAATGTTTAATTTCTTTCTGTCAGCTTAAATGTATAAGCATGTACACTGTACATACATACATACATACATATGAATTAAATCATACTTACAACCATATTTACTACTAGAACATATAACGCACCGATTGTAATGGCAAACTCCATAAACGAATGCAACAAATAAAATGTTAACTTGTGTTTGGTTGTTGCTGTACATGCTCATATGTATGTAAATGTCTATAAACTTACACCACTACTCCTTAATTTCGACTTACATATCTACGTATATTTGCACACGTAACAATTAAAAAATTTTAGTATGTTAATTTATAAAATAATGTTTATTTCCATAGGTGGGGGTGCCCAGAATGAGGACAATTCACAGATTTTTGTGATGAATAACTACTTCGGTATCGGGATTGATGCCGATCTTTGCCTTGACTTCCACAATGCTCGAGAGGAAAATCCCAACAAATTCAATTCTCGTCTGCACAATAAGGGTTATTATGTAAAGATGGGTCTGCGAAAAATTGTTGGCCGCAAGACAGTTAAAGACCTGCATAAAGAACTAAAATTGGAAGTTGATGGCAAAGTCGTTGAACTGCCACCTGTTGAGGGCATAATTATTTTAAATATTTTGAGGTAAGTAAGCGTACTGCGCACATACACTCGTACACACAAGCATATGCACATAAAAAAAGGAGCAACGGTTTACAAAATCGAATTGTTAATCAATATATATTAATTGCTTTATTCATTCTCAGTTGGGGCAGCGGCGCTAATCCCTGGGGCCCTGATAAGGATGACAACTTTTCTACGCCAAATCATTACGACGGCGTGTTGGAGATTGTTGGTGTTACAGGTGTTGTTCACTTGGGTCAAATACAGTCTGGAATACGTACAGCGATGAGAATAGCCCAAGTTAGTAAATCCAAAATAGGAAAAAACCATGCATCTCTTAAAATGTTTAAAAACCGTATGGGCCAAAAATGGTTTTGAGAGAAAATATAGAAATTTTTTTTTTTTCTTAAATCATTTGAAAGTGTTAGATCATTAGAAACAATTTTTAACACACAATTTCGGAATCACTCAACCAGAGGCTCATTTGAAGAGTTACACAGTGGTATTAATAACATTAAAAATGAACACTTATATGACGCTATCTCTTGCAATTCATAAATAAAAAAAGTTGTGGAAATACGCGATTCTGGCGATTTTCAGCGCTAGACGGATAAGCTCTCACACTGTGATAGTAATACAAAAATTGTTTGTGACTCAACCTTATACATATGTATGTAAGTATGTACACATTCGTACATACATACATAACGCACGTTTAATAGTATAGATATGTAGATTAAAATTTACGTTTTTGGAGATTTCATCAGTCAATTAATAAACTTGATAAAGAGAATATGTTCAGCCTAACAGAAGCAAAAACTTCCAAAAAATGGCAAGAATATGCGTCTTTCCATTTGCCTTTTGGCATACCAACTGTATGCATTAATAAAACTTTGACTGCGTTTTCCCACAAAATTTAAATTTTGAAATACTTTGTTATAATACAGTGGATCACAAATTTGTGTTTGGTTTTTGTTCCACGGATGCCCCTACCCGCACTCCATGTAAAATCGCCTGCTGACTCCAAAAATCGAGTTAATTTTTTATTCTATTGATAAGTTTTCGAGATATTTTCAATTTACCGTTAATCAGCTAAGAACAAAAAGTGGTTCCACTTAATCACGTACATATATCGTACGAACCCATTTAACAATCATAATATGAAACACGGCAAATGAAAGCTTACAAAATTCTACATAGAATTTGTGTACATAACTTTTCGATAGGTCTGATAGTATCTGACAAATTGATTTATCATTCCAGATTTTTTGTTTTTTCATGAAAATATGAAAAAAAATCAAACTTTAACAGAAGATGAATTAAAAAATAAATATCAGGTTCTGTGTAAAATTGTTTCATTCGTGCTAAAACCTATTCTATTACAAAAAAAAAATCAAGTTACTATTGAATAAAATCGATGGATAAATAACGAAGTAATGAGTAGTCAAATGAAAATGCGCAAAGATTTTTTCTATGAAAAATTGGCAGGCAAAAATGTTACTCATACGCCATATATACCTGAGTAACACGCTTTTCTTCTCATATTAAGCTGAATAACGGTAAATTGAAAATATATCGAAACCTTTCCATAAAATAAAAAAATAACTCGATTTTCGTAATAATCGAATTATTCTATATAGAAATTGGATATTGGCATCCATTGAACATTTTTGGTGTAAACCAATGTTATTAAACGTGCGATATATATCTACTATGTACACATATGTATATGTATAAATGTATATTAAACTGTGTCAAATAAAACGACTGTTTCTTTTCTTTCGCTCCCATATGTCACATACGTCACAAACGTGACACTCGTACGTATCTGTTTTATTTACAACTTTCTTTTTACAGGGCGGTCATATAAAAATTCACTTATATTCAGATATGCCAGTTCAAGTCGATGGAGAACCTTGGGTACAGAGTCCTGGTGATGTAGTCGTTTTGAAATCCGCTTTAAAAGTGAGTACATTTAAAACGTTACTCATATTTCACCAATTGGCTGATTTTTAGTTCATACAGAGAAGTGGGCAACTAAATAGAAACTCAACTTGATCTCGTGAATTTCCCGTAATTCGAAGCTATAAATATGTGCATGAATATAGTCAGTGCACGGACTGTACTACTTTATTGGTTGATCTACCAACTTTTTAGCTATTTTATTTTCTACCATTTTAACCAAGAAAGGCTAAAAATCTACCAATACTTTCCGGAAAGAAAACGAAGAGATTTAAATAGACGTGATGTATACATACACCCCGCGAGAAGAGATAGCATATCAACATCTTTACCAGTTTTGACTATTTTCTTTTGATTTTTTTAAGTTTCCTTATTTTCATATACAAGTATGGCTCTTGGAAGAAATATAAAATCTAAATTTTATATATAAATCTAAATTTTAGATTTCATACAAAAATTATAAAAATTCCACAAACTTTTCACCCAAATTCCATGCATTTTAATTTTACTTTCCAGAATAATTTTTGGTATGCAGTTTTATAGCTCATCAAATTTTAGTATAATAAAGTGTTAGTTTTAAGTTGCTAACAAATCGCGTTGATTTTTGATATTTTGACGTAGAATACGTCTTACGTTTCGATATGGAGGCTATGCTCAAATGTTGTAGTTGTAATTTTTAGAGCTTCACGAAAACGCTTATTGCACGAGAACTACTGAAGCCATTTCAAAGAAAGCTTTGGCGTTTCAAAAACCTATCGACAGATACACTCCTGTGAATAACCGATTCGGTGTCTGTCCTAGAAACAACGGTAAATATTGGCTTATTTTGAGGCAAATTTTAAGCTCCTCGCCCTTTACAATTTTACCCACACCCCTTATTGTCTCCAATTTGGTGGAAAAATTCAAAGCCGTTGTCTCATCTAACTTAGGCTTGGAGACAATAAGGGGTGTGGATAAAATTATAAAGGGTGAGGAAAACGCCCTTATTCCTAAAAATATGAACGTTTCAAACGTTCCATATTTAAATTGGGCGCCACTTGTATCAACTTACGTCGAGCACACATTTAGTATATTCAAGGCTTTTCTTCGCGAAAATCGTATGAAAATGCTGCCAGAAAACTTCAAAATTGTTCAATGTTACTACAACTATACAGATTAGATTTTTCATATAATGAAACTAGTTCATAGTTTTTCTCTCTTTAATTATAATATAAACATTTCTAAAATAAATGTATTTTTTGATTGTTCTTCGTATTTTCTGTCTTTTTTAGTGCTTTATTTTCCTTTTTTTGCAATAAGGTTTTGCTTTAAAAATAATATGAACAGGATTGCCATCTGTTTGAAAAGTCGAATTAAGTTATATGAAATATTGAAGTATTGGCGTCAAAGAAAGGACCATTAAGAAAAATTTAGTTTCAGCATTTATAACATTAAAAAGGGTTTCCACCTGTGTAAAAAGTTAAACTCAAATTATTTAATAAGTTAAATTATTAAAGTATGGGTATAAATTGGCATTCGTTAAAAATGGTTTTTTCTTTATATTATTTAAGAGGGCTGCCATATGTTTTAGAAATTAAATTCAACATGAATTAGGGGAATTAGATATACAATTTAAATATGTATAGCAATATGTGTGTCAGCTAAAAAAAGGTTTAACCAGGTTTTGATTTTAAAATATTTGAACAGGGTTGCCAATTGTTTTAAAATTAGAAACAAAGGCGGTAAGATATCTTTAGTTTAAATATTAATAATTTTAAAGAGGGTTGCCATCTGTTTAAAAAGGTAAACTCAAATTATTTAAGAAGTGAAAGCAATTATTAAAAATATTGGTATCAAATGAAATGGGTTTAAAAGGGCTTTATATCTGAACTGTATTTAGGAGCGTTGTCACGTATTAAAAAATCAAATTTAACTTAATTCATCAGGCACATGAAATATGTACATAGGTATCACAATATTAGACATAAGCTGGTGGTACATATGATTGAAGTTAATGTGGGTCTGCTTCTCTATGGCTAAGTATTAATATTTTGCAATTCATATTTATTTATTAAATTCAATTCAATACAATCAAAACGAATATTTCGTGTGCCGTTTTAAACTTGAATGTGATCTTAATAATATCACGTATTCTACGTTTAAGTTTACAAGACGAAGGCGCTGGACTGATCCTTTTTTTTTGCTTACGATATCACGCATTTACTTCCATACAAAGTCACCGTCACAAAAAAAAA